TTTAAGTGTACATGCAATTGTTGAGTCAACGATCTGCTGCCGGGTAGCTCCTATAAAATAAACTACTGGCCTCCTACTCTAAGGTATAGTGTGTAAAAGAAACAGTAGCAGGTATAACAAAGGAAAACAGTGACAACACAATATTTATAGGAGCAGTAAAACATGCAGTATAGAAAAACAGTAGAATGTACAGTAGAGAAGAACAATAAAGTGTGTTGTAAAGTAAAATGCTGTAAATGTAAATCAAACATGTATACCTAGAAGGTCCGCTGCTCTTTTGAGTGTGGTTGATGTAACAAGTATAAGTATAGTGACAGAATTTAAGAAATGTGCTAACATGCATTGTATAAGTAAAAGTGAGCAACAAAAGAAACACCACCTGGAAAACTCGAGGAAAAGCGACAAATGACCCACGACGGAAAACTCGAAGAAAGCAGCAAATAACTCACGATGGAAAACTCGAGAAAACAACAAATGACAACTCAAAGAAAGTCATCGAAAATACGGGAAGGTCCCGGAAAAAGACCACAAGTGTTTTACCAAAAGTTCCAATAAAGTCACACGAAAAACCCGAAGAGAGAAAACCGCAAGCACTCGAGTTGGGGCTAGGCTCAGATATTATATATATGTATACTCGAGGGACGTCGAAGGCTACTATTGGTCACCCGAATGTATAGAGCCCACCACTCAACTAGAAGGATGTCCTACTAAACCTAACTTAGGAGGGTGCTTCTTAGCCCGATACTGGTAATCGACAAGTGGACAACCAAGTTACAATACATTTAAAATTTATATTTTAGCATGCACATGAATTTCAGACATACAAAATAAAGTTGTATCAATCAATTTTGTAGTAAAAATACTTTCATAAATATTGTATCTGTTCTTATAGTGTCGGTTCTTATAAGTTTTGAAAATTATGATTGTTCACGAGTCATTCACGTCGTCGAGTGTAGGACCGCCAACAACCTAATAAGGTACAAGTTCCCCGCTAGTCTTGTGTCGGTGAATGATACTATCGTCATACGGTTCACCAAGTCTTTGGATTGGGTCCTGATGTCGTAAGATGATATATCATTTTGCTCTACCACCGGTGTGCCTTTGTCATCACCGCTCTAAGCCCCAAGACAAAACCGACCTACTTGCGACATTGCTTGATGGTTCATATATAGCAAAAAACTATATATGCACACTTATGTATTAGACATAATCACCGAAAACCTAAACCAAGAAACAAGGAAAATAAACCGAAAAACAAGAAATAAAGAAGAAAGAAAACTAACCCACCTCCAAAACCAATTCAGGAAAGAAGAGTCAAAGTGGTAGGAGGATTAGCCTAAAACATATAATTGGCGGGGCTTCTCGAATGAGTAAAGAGGTGAAGTACATTCCCCATGCTAGCCAGGAAACATCTCCAAAAGGTACAATTTATAAATCTCCAAACCACTTCCAAACTTTCACAAATATCACAAAGATTTCTTTTCTCTTCTTTCTTTTCTTTTTCTCTTCTTTTTTTCTTTTTTTTATTGCAATCAATTCAGCCTGTAGAATTGGACTCCAAACATTTCCAAACGTCTCATACATCATTCCTCAAAAGGGGGCATTCGCGTTCTTTCAAATAATAAGAATTAAAATATTTCATTTCGCCAATATTAAAATATTCTATTCTATCTCAAGCCAAAAATTTCCATTGCCACATGAACTCATCACTACGCAAAAAAAATCCCATATAGGTGCTCATGGCCAGGGCAACACGGAACTACCAAACAGGTGCATAAAGGACCAGACATCACAGAAAGGCTCACGACCAGAGACAGCAACACAGGCAAAGCCACCAGCCAACAACACAAAAGGAACCACAATAGGGATGCTCACGGGAGGAGCAAACAACAGAGAATTAGTCAAGGCATGAAGGCTCACGACCAGGGACAACCAAGGGGAGCAACACAGGCCCCAAAAACAAGCTTTCTCAAAGCTCCAAAAATCAAATAAAATCACCTGCATGTGTTTCGAACAAGGGCAACCGTAATAGGGAACCAAAAATCAAGCCCCAAATCGATATTCCATATAATATGCATTTCAAATACGTAAACCGCAGCTTGGAGTTAAACCGAGACCTCGAAATAGGCCCCCAAGAGGTCTACAAAATTGCATGCCATACCAGCCAAAACACCACCGTGCAACAGCTCTGACCGGGCAAAACAGAGAAAGAAAGGGGCACAGGGGAAAGAAGAAGAAGAGGTGCCTGGCTCGAATTCCTCTCAAACAACAGAAGAAAGCTCTCAAGCACCAAACCCAGAAACTTCGAGCCAAGAAAAATTTTAGCAGAATCTCCCCCACACAAAAATTTTCGGCCGACCCTAAAGATCCCCCCAAATGGGGTTCATATAGGCAAAGAGGGAGGAGGAAACGCCTACCCCTACCTGGGGGTGAGCCAAGACGGAGGACGGAAGAAGCGTCAAGAATCACAGAGGCGTGGGAGGTGGCGCAGGGAGCAGGTGGCATGGCGACAGGGAGAAGCTTTAGGCAGAGCGGCAGGCGTACGAGGAGGGAGCTTTACCAGAGCACAGGAGAGAGGGGACCTTGAGGAAGCTTCGTGGGAAGAATAGGTGCGATGAATTGAGTTCGGCCCTAGGGTTCGGGCGCGAGCGAGAGAGGGAGCTTGGGCCAAAGGAAGTGAACAAAAGGGGAATTGGGAGTGTGCGTGAGTTAGGGTTTTAGGATTAGGGATTTAAGGTATGTTAAAATATGGTTTTTTTTTTTAATTTTACTTAAAAAATGCGTCGAATTCTGTGCGATTTATTCGTGCGCGGCGCCATAGTAAAATGAATGTCCTTCTTTGTTAAAATCGACGTTCTGGACGCGCCGTCGCAGTCTGTTTCGTCATCCGGGGTCGTCCGGACGACTTTTCGGACTACTTTGTAGACGGTCGGGTCAAAAACGCGTCAAAATTCAAATTTCATGAAATTTCTGACCCGCGATCGATTGTTTCAAAAATTTCATTCGAGTCTTCGACGGGTAACAGTGCAAGCGATGTTAATTATGAATTGTAGTGATCAATTGTAGTGATCGAACGTGTCGACTCTCCGAATTGCGAAGTTTGTGCTCGCGGAAGTGCAAATTGTGCAAAAGACAATCTTAAGGTTTAATGATCCTATAGGGACTCCTTTTGGGTTTCCTCATGTTGGTTTCAACCTCGTAAGTGCTAGAGACCGATACCACACATGTGAAACTCCAAAAGGGTAAAGAAGTAGGTTGAATTTCTTAAATGGGGTGGGTTCTATTTCTAAGGTTCTAAGATAGTCAAAGGAAGAACCCTAAGGCTAGACCCTAAACCCTAAGAAGAAAACTAGACTTCACTAAAAATGAGGTCAACAATGTTTTAGGACTTTGCCACCTTAGCGGAGGTGCTAATAAGTAGTTTCACCTTATAAATCAAGCTTACATATCAGATGCAACATAGCTCACAATGGAAATAACTTAGACAACTAATCAGTAATCACTACATGTTGGGCTAATAAAAATTCATGCCATGCCAAAAATACACAAAATGATCAAGAGCAAGAAGGGATGGTGTGCTACATTCTGTAATGATATAAAAAGATTAAAATAACAAAATATGGACCCAAAACTTATGAATGAAACGATGAGGAGAAGATTGAGGATAAAATTAAAGTAACGAGTCCCTAACATCATTGAACATATCAGACACTTCTTGGCTCTCAAAAGAAATCAACATTCAAAAAGATGGTTATGATTTCAGAAATTTACCGAAGATTTAAAGGATCCATGCTTTAAGACTTTGGTACCTTAGTGGAGGTGCTAATAAGTAGTTTCACCTTATAAAATTGACTCAATCTATGAATCACAAGGTATCAGGAGGCACTAAAAGTAATCTCGAAACTAGTAGGAAAATAGTGGAAATAAAAAAATAAACTTTTATTAATATTAAAATAGGATTACAACATGACTTAAATGGAAATAACAATGCAAGACATAAAACGACACAACCAACACTTAAACGTACCCATTGGGTGGTGGAGGTTGGCATGAGGGATATGAATGATTAGGAGGGATGGCGACAATTACTGTAGGTGGTTGGTAGTGAAGGGAAGATGCGGAACTATATGAACAATAATTGGGAAGGGTTTTAGGTGCTCGACAACGGTAGTGGGGTGGTTGAGATGAGCTTGAAAGGAGTTAGGAAGACAAACAACAATAATAATATGCTCGAAGGGAAATGACTTGGTGTCGAGATGATGGAGGGAGAGTTCGACGGTTGTGGAGTGGAGTGGAGAAGGTTTGGGAAGGGTTGAAAGGGAAGATACAATCACCACCTCAGTGAGGATACAACCGAAGCACCACCGCCTTCTCGGATACAACCCACAATGGGGAAAATGAATCCACACAGGAGAACTGAAAACAAACACAACAAGAACTGACTCCATACACATCTAGGACAAAAATTTATAGGCCCCCTACTAGACAAAAGAATCCAGAGAATACCTCACGGGAGCGGCAACATGCGAAGCTTACTTCTCCTTCGCGAGAGATCGACTGCAAGACCCACAGTGTTCGCGAACTCGCCTCCCTTATTCTCCCGCTTTGCGATATTTCACTGGACTTCATCCCCTGTGGTTTCAAACTCCTTCGCAATAAATCGCAGCTGTTCGATCCCCCCTTCCAGCGCCCACGTGGGAAAAATTATTGTATCCGAACTCAAGGCGCAAATTTGTGTCGTAGTCCAGTGAAAACTTGCCACATGCCAAGTGCGAACAGTGCTCACGTCAAAAAAGTGTTGAGCTTGAGGTGATATCCGAATTAACGTGGCTCTGGATATTACAAATATGCCTCTTTAATCAGAAATATGCCAGTTCTTTCTGCTGATGGAGTTATCATGATATTAAACCTTTTTTTATTAGTTTTCTTGAAATTAAACCATTTTTCCTTTATTGTTTTTTCACTAACGTTAGTATTAATTGTAAAACTTCTTTAAACAGGTACAAAAGGGTTGTCCTTGATAATGGGCTTACTGTGATGGTAGGTTGCAAATCTTATCCTAAAATATTCTTTTTTCAAATTTTGAAGCCATTTTCATACTTTTTTAGTACACATTGTAGTCGCCCTAAGTGTAATTTGGCTGGGATTTCCCCAATTTTGTCCTCTAATCAAGCAAACTTTCTTTTGTTTCAACTTGCTTAGCTGTAGCCGAACCAAATTTGTTTCAACTTGCTTTTCTTTGAGCGGCATTTACATACCACGCAATTCCTATGTATTTACATATCTAACGCGTGAAATTACTTTTTACATTTATACTACCCAAATCTTTCTTATTACATAAAAAATAACACTATTTTATCTTTCATATTACATAAAAAATAACACTATTTTATCTTTTAAAAAGTGAAACACATCTTTTCATGCATTGGTAAGGCGGTATTATATGTAAAAATCGAAGTTTAAGTGCTATATATGTAAATAAATAGGAATTGAGTGGTATGCATGTAAACCTTCCTTTTTTTAAAAAGTTAGCGGAGGCTATTAGATAAAAGGTAGAGATAAAAAAGACGTGGTTTGTTGATGAAAAGAGGATAACCGGGAGTGTGAGGGAGTGATTGAGGGGGGTTTGGATGTGTAAAAGGAGCAAGCGAGTATGAGTAAGAGCAAAAGGCTATAGGCAGCAGAGAAGTAGAAATGGAATTGGTAAAAAAAAAAAGAGGAACGGGGACTGAAAATGTTTGGGAAATTCACGTACATACCACAATTCTTTTATATTTACATGTCTGCAGCTAAAATTTCATATTAACATTTATAGCACTTTGGTGTGATAAAAATATGGATCACATTTAACTTTTTTCAAAGTTGGTGATAGTAGTATTTTTTATGTGATATCAAAGATTTGAGTGCTATGCCTGTAAATATTAAAGTTTGATTGTTTGATATGTAAATACATAAAGAATTGTGCGGTATGTATGCAAATACCCAAAAATGCTTTCATGGAGGTTGGGGGTTAGAAACTGGTTGTCACAGTGCATGAATCAGTATAAAATCGCTTTAAGAACGATGCTGTTCAAGTGGGAATTAGCAGGGAAGGTTGCAATATGATGCTTGATGAAGACATACTGCTATTCATGGTTAGTAATTATTTTATATTGATTGAGGATCCAATAACCACTTTAGGTGCCTCTATTATTCTTACAAAGCGGGTGAATATACTGATTGCTTATAGTTACAGATTATTTTATCTTCATTGCTAATGATTTTTATGCTTGTTTTTCTTTTTGTAGACAGATTTATGAATCTTCACAAGCAGATCTATCAGTGTACTTATTATACTTTTCCCAAAAATTAATAGACCTCTTAGATAATGCTAGAAGATTCACACTCAAACAATATTCAATCATAAACATAAAATAAGTAAAGTGACAAAATAGTCCCCTGATTGTTTACATGCCATCATATTAGTTCCAAATTCTATAAAAGTGCAAAATTAGTCCCTGTTAGGAAACAATATTCAATCATAACTATTAAATAAGTAAGTGACAAAATAGTCCCTTGATTATTTACATGCCATCATGTTAGTTCCAAAGTCTATAAAAGTGCTAAATTAGTTCCCGTTAGAAGTGTCAATTCGGGCGAGCGGATGGGTTCATGTCCAACCCAAAAATGAACTGACCCAAATAGGGTCAACCAGAACCCGACCCAAATAATAAACGGGTCAAAAACTCAGACCTGAAACTGACCCGAAATTTCGTGGTTATTTGGGCAGTGTTTGGGATTTCAGGCTCAACCTGAACCCGACTCGATAAATATTCAGGTCAACCATAACTTGGATTTTTCGAGTTGTGTTGGCGTATCAGGTCAATTTTTGACTCCTCTAGTCCCCGTATTCTTTAATAGGCTGAAATTGTCCCTATGGTGGATTTTTTTAGCAAACATTGAAAACTTTGGAACTAAATTATAGACTCGGGTTCATTTGACATTTTTATAGACTCTGGAACTAAATTAGACCTCTAACAAGAGTCCCCATTTTAACACTTTTATCATTATAAAATAAAAACTTAAAAGAAGCAATTATTTAAAATTCTTTTCTATATGGCTCTTGTTTCCCTCTAGAAAGCCATGAAGCTTTAGGCACACATAGAAAGCCATGAAGTTGAAGGCTTGTATAGATATGACATGAATAAAGCCTAAAATGTGCCATGTGAAACAAATGGCTGCAAACTCCATATGTGACTATGGTGTATATGAAAGTTCTGCATCATTGAATTGAATACGACGCACGACACTATAAAAATGAATGGAGAGTATAAGTGCGTAAAGCTGATACCAAATAGTTGGGATTGAAGATGATGACCACGACGATGATGGTATTGCTGAAGAGAAAATACTTGCACTTGGAGATATAAGTAGATTCTTGTCGACCACCACTCGTGCTAGTAGTCATATAAACTAATGCTCACTATCATTATTGATAGACATTATCCTTGTTAACATTCCCACTTGTTATTGTCATTGTCAAACACAGTTTTCTAGCAATCTTGACATAAGAATTCATCGAAATCCACCTATGTTGTGCACTTACCCGCTACTTAATAGTTGATGGTGTAACTTTCTACCATAAAGTCGTGGATTCAAATCCCGTATGCTGCTTTTTGGGCCTTTCCTGAAAGAAAAAAAAGATGGCCAACCATGTTTGTTAAAAGTTTTCTTAGTCATCTAAGCACGCCTTATATAACAAGAATAATTAAGTTAGGCTACTCAACATTGCTAGACCTCTAACAATATTTCTCATTAGCCATCACCCCAAGTATGCCAAAGAGCATTGTTTGAAGTTTGTCAACCTTCATTGTTTGACATCTGTCTTTTGTACTGTTTGGTCTCTTCTTTTATAATGAAAATGATCAAATTAGACTGCACAATGTCACATAACCTCAAAAGTTCTTCATCTACCATTGGTGCATGCCAAATAGCAACCTATGCCATTCATTAGCCATTAACATCCCTTGCTAGCCTTCTCGATCATTCAGTCACCACACTTATAAGTAAATAATTTAGTTGGCTACTTAATATTGCTAAAAATTTGATATTCCTTGTCAATTTTTTATCCTATGCATGCCAAATACTTACATCTGATTTCTTATGTAAGCAATTCTGATTGTCTGGTCTTTCTTCATATGAGGAGAACAATTAATTTATGTTAATTGACATTGCTCAGCCTTTAATATCTCACATTTGCTAATGCCCAACACATACAAAAGGTAGATGTCTTATGTTCGCTTATCATTATATGACACCCATCTTCATGATCTCTTCGATTACCTCGTATATAGAGAATGATTGTTTAACTTACCCATCTTTGTCAATTTGCATCCATACAATAATTACAATGAAAATTTATATACATACCACCCACTTCCTATGTATTTACATATTTAACACCTAAATATTGATATTTACATTTATAATACTATATGGTGTCATAAATTTATGTATGAAATTTTAAATTTCATTTTTAAAAAGTTAATATCGGTATATGATAAAGTTATGAATGTTATAAATATAAATGAAAGTTTAGGTATTAGATGTTTAAATACATAAGAATTGTGTGTAATGTATGTAAATTCCCCTTACAAATATTATATTTATATGTAATAAATTCAATAATAATATGTATTATTCCTTGAAACATTTCTTGTAGAATCTTTATAAAAATTTTTATTAGTTGTCAAATTTTGAAATGATAATAATTCTCATATATGATATTTATTAAATTTCTTCTTTAAAATTTTTTTAAAATATTTTTTTGGAAAAATATGATGATATATATTTACACGTTTAATTTCTATCTAAATAAATTAACCAACCATTTGTTGAAATTTTAGCATCCAAAATATCTAACTCAAATAAAAAATAACACCTCTATTGCTATACTGTCACCGTGTCTCTTGATCCGATTGCCCTTTGCCCTAATGTCATTACATTTCACACGTCGCCGCTGATCATGTTGGTCCTACCATGACCTCCTTGGTCGATGCCTCCGCAGCCCTTCACACACACTGAGCTCATGACAACGCTCAGCTCCATAACACCATAGTTGTCCTTGCTAGCACTGACTCCTCAACCAAATACGACTTAAGCTACTCACACTTAGGGGTGTAAACGAAACGAACACGAACGAACATAGCGTGTGTTCGTGTTGGGTTCGTTTGAAATTAATTGTTTTTGAAATAGACTCGTGTTTGAAATTGTTCGTTAAAGTTTTTGTTCGTGTTCGGTTCAATTTTTCTGAAATAAGTTCGAATTGTTCGAAATGTTTGAATTGTTCAAATTATATTAATGGTTAGAATTGTTTGATATGTTCGAATTATTCGAATTGTTTGAAAATATTAAGATTTGTTTGCATAATTTAAAATATGATAAATTTTTAGAATATATAATTATTTTTAAAATATCATAATTTTTTTAATATATAACTAATTTAAATTATTTTATATTTCGAACATTAATGAATCGAACACGAACGAACACGAACGAACACATCACTGTTCGTGTTTGGTTCGTTTAACAAACCGAATGAAAAAATTTGTTCGTGTTCGATTCGTTTGCTTTTTGAAGGAATCAAACACGAACTTCCTGACAAACCGAACACGAACTGTTCGCGAACAACAAGCTTTTTTGATAGCCCTACCCACACTAACCTTGACATCGCTAAAGGAGCTCACCTAACCTTTACCACTATGGTACCCCAATACCCGAAAGATCCTCACAAAAACAGAGAAGATTAGGGCATCAACACAACAAATGCAAAGATACCATCGACTAGCACTCGTGAAATGACTAGGCTATACCGAGCTCAGCTGTATATATAATAATGGTGAATGAGTTGATGTAATGAAACATTCAAAGATGTAAATACATTCAAATCAAGAACACGTATCTTTATTCAGGCTTTTGCTTCTTTTTTCCTTCATGGTATTAGAGATTCATCTCAACAGCAACAACATCGATCCACGGATTTCTCTGCTTCTACACCATCTTGATTTAAGCAATAATTTAACCTTAAACAACTTTACACATCTCCCAATTCCTAGGGCTACAAGTACATCACACTACATGTGGATTCTTTTTCAACATACCAAATATCTCACATACCTACTTCAAATAGCAAGACTACTTTAATCCAAAGCAGTACTAACACCTTTACCTTCCCATCACGTAAAAACCGCCACTCCCTCCACACCATTGCCTGACCTCAAACACTATAGACAACTACTAGGCTCTTTGAAATATCTCACTATCACTCGCCAGACATAACCTTTACAGTCAACTACATCAGCCAATACATGAACAAACCACTTTTAGAACTTGCAAAACTTCTCAAACGATTACTCGGATACATGAATGATACACGGCATCATGGCTACCCATCGAAGCTAGAGATCTGCATCTCAAAGCCTACACTGATGCAGACTGGGCAAGCAACCAAATCAACCTTAAATCCACTATAGGCTTCTGTGTTTTCCTAAGTCCTAATTTCATCTCCTGGTCAACAAATAAAAAACCCACAATGGCAAGATCCTTGATAGAGGCAGAATACAAAGCCCTAGACTCCACCAACATAGACATTTTCTGGCTAAGAAGACCACTACATAAACTCACTCAGGAAACACTTCTAGCAACCATTATCTATACTGATAATACTTTAGCTATCATCTTAGCTCACAACCATGTATTCCATGCTCATAAACAAAATTACATTAAAGTAGACTACCACGTCATCTGCGATCGAGTAAACTATGCCAAAATCACTCTATACCACATCATATACCAGCATCAAACAACATTTATCTTTACAAAACTACTACTTGTTGCAAGATAATAGTTGTTCACAGACAAGATAATCCAAGCTCTAAATTATCATCTTGAGAGGGAGTAAAGGACCTCACCTCACCTTTACCATCGTGGTCCCCAACAATCAAAAGATCCTCTCAGAAATAGATAGATTAAGGAATCTACATAACAAACACATATATACCATTGACTAGTACCACTTCTATATGACTCATGTCTCCATCTATTTTAATGACAAAATAATAAAAATCAGGAAAGATGGTCATCCGGGTCCAACAGAAAACCGTCATTTAATATGCTTGTGTGGCTTGAAACAATAAGGCCTGATGTCGGAACACTGGTGCTAAGCATGCCATGTGTTTTGGGACAAACCCGTCCAAGCTGTAGGCACACATAAAAAACCATAAAGTAGAAGGCTCGTATAGATACGACATGCATAAAGGCTAAAATGTACAACGTGAAACAAATGGCTGCAGACTCCATATGTGACTAAGGTGCAGACGTTAGTTCTGCATCATTAAATTGAATACCGCACGCGATCCTATAAAAATGAATGGAGAGGATAAGTGCGTAAAGCTGATACCTGATAGTTGGGATTAAAGATGATGATGATGAAGATGATGGCATTACTTTAGAGAAAATACTTACAGGATGATTTAGTCCCGCATAGGTGTGTAAACGAGTCGAGTCAAGTTCGAGCCACCCTCAGCTTGATTAATTAATCTAGTTTGAGTTGAAGTTTAAGAGTTCAAGCTGGTTCGCGAGCAGATTCACTAGGCAACCTCTTAATTATGAAATAGAAAAAAAAATGATATTAATTTAAGCTATTGTTATAATAAAATGACAAATATGATGAGCAAATATGTATTAAATAATAAGAAATCACTTGGTATGAAATTTAAAATATCATTTTTAATTTTTTTTTAGAAACTTAATGATAAAATTGTGAGTCTTAATATATTCTAAGTATATTTTATATTAATATTTTTTTAAACGAGTCGGCTAATGAGTTAACGAGTTGAGTCGGGTTTGACTTGAGCATGACTTGTTAGCTCATCGAGCTCAGCTCAAGGGCCATTTCTTAAACTGAGCCCGAGCCGGCTCACTAGTCGGCTTGGCTCAGTCACGCCTCTAGACTCCCACATCAAAATATCTTGATATGTCATGATGTTCTAATGCCTGCTTGTCATGAATCTTGTGTGAAATTGAAGATGGTCTTTCCATAGAAAAAATCCACACTAATTTTCTGTTTGTGCATGTAAACTTAATTAAATGAACGGATAAATTTTTCATGAAATTATCTCTTGAATGCTGTTTAATATCCTGACTGTAATTTAGAAAGAGTCTATCGAGCGCTAAAACTATATTTATGGGGCCATTAGATGAAGTTTGGATTGGTATTTCATGTACTTTTGTGTTCTAATGGACTTCCCTGCCCCTCAGGTACCACCTTTTATTGAAGCTGGTGATGAAATTGTTCTTAATACTACAGAGGATAAATATTTGGCTAGGTAAGACCTCATAATTCCTTTTGTAATGGTATATATGTTTCATGATTTACAGTTATTTTGGTTGAAGTTTATTTCTTATGATTTATTTATTGTTAATGAATAAAGCATGTTTAACGTTTGATTAAATTTCCTTCTATTTTTGAATTTGTACCTATCAACTCATTATCAAAATCCTCCAAAAACACTTAATATCATTTTGCATTGAGAAAGCTCTATTCATTTAATACATTATTATTTCTGCTTAGCAATTATTCTTGTTCATGCAAGTTTGTGACTTTTTATTTGGCCTCATGTATATACATTTTTTTGTAAGGTCGCGTTTAAAATATTTAGTATTGTTCCTATATTTTATGTAACATATGTTGCCTAAGCGTTCTTTAGGTGCAGGAATTATTTAAATTAGCTTGTGATCGAATTTGGTGAAGGCTTCCATTCTTCTAGTGTTTTTCAAAATTTTTTTTTTTCCTGGGATTGATTATAAATGGAACATTTATGTCCAGCAAATGACATCAACCGAATTAGATATATTCCGATGTTTCACCATTTTTTGAGACATGATTTATTGTCTTCAGTTTTTTGATACTAGTGGTAATTATCACAAATTTATTATTATTATTTTTTTTTTGGAAGATTTACATACATACCACTCAATTCCTATATATTTACATATTTAACATTTAAAATTAAATTTTCGCATGCATAGCTCCTTACCTATGCATGAAAAGGTGTATTTCACATTTTAAAAAGTTAAAGTGGTGATTTTTTTGATGTGATGAAAGATTTGGGTGGTATAAATATAAAATGTAAAATTGAGACATTAGATATATTTACATATTTAACATTTAAAATTCAATTTTCGCATGCATAGCTCCTTACCTATACATGAAAAGGTGTATTTCACATTTTAAAAAGTTAAAGTGGTGATTTTTTTGATGTGATGAAAGATTTGGGTGGTATAAATATAAAATGTAAAATTGAGACATTAGATATATTTACATATTTAACATTTAAAATTCAATTTTCGCATGCATAGCTCCTTACCTATACATGAAAAGGTGTATTTCACATTTTAAAAAGTTAAAGTGGTGATTTTTTTTGATGTGATGAAAGATTTGGGTGGTATAAATATAAAATGTAAAATTGAGACATTAGATATGTAAATACATAGGAATTGGGTGAAATGTATGTAATTGCCCCTTGTTTTTTGTATTATTTTTATTATTTTTTGCTCATCCAAAAATTTGCAAGATGAGAGTTTATTATTATGTTGGCAAGAATCTAACCCAAATCCTTTACAACTTCCGAAGTCATTAGTAACTGGACTAGTTGGTACCCACAATTATCTCTGGGCTGTTCTATATATATTCTACACAGCATGGGCATAAATTATACTTTGGAGCTCCGTGCCAAGTGGGAAGTTTATAATATCCATATTTGAATTGAATGTTTAGTAATAGATTAACTAATGGATTTAAGATATTCTTTGTAGCTATATATTGTCCTTGGATTTCACATTCTTAACATATGATTGTACCCAATCCCCGAGCTAAACCCTTTCGATGATATTTGGTTGATCTTTACTAGACTTATTTTTTTCTAATTTTGAACCTGCCAATTTTATTTTAAGTTCTTGTTGCCGTCGCTGCAGATTTTACGCAGATTTTACTATGATTTGATTTTGGAGGAGATTCAACTCTATTCTTACTTAGATAAAGATAAGACTTTGTAGTGATCAAAGCAACCCTAATATTCTCTCATTGAGAGAAGTCTCGTGGCTGCACTCACAAGCTGAAAGCTTCTTTTGAAAGATGAGAAATGTTGGTTTTTGCAGGCAATACTATTTTCAACATTTAGATTGCAAATGGTTTAATCGGGCATTTTGAAAGTTGTTTCTTTTTTTATCAACATTTTCATGACTGCATTTTGTATATGTTTATCTTTCAGGGCCAAGGAATAGTTCAATGCTGTTTCATTGAGAACAACACATGTACTCACTCACAAATCTAGCAACATGGAAGAGGTAAACTTTGGATCAGAATATTTTAATCAAATCTTGATTGAAATGAATCACAAAGCGTTGGACTAGCTTTGATATGCGTGCAATATATGAAAATTTTATTAAAATTTATGTTATATTCATCTCAAAATAACTATAATCATTTAAAATCATTCTAATAAAAAACTTTGTTTAATATCGTGAGTTATATTTTTCCCCCTCTTCTTATCTTCCCTCTGTAAAAGAATAAATGGATAAAAGTAATTCTGAAATTTTTGGTGTGAAAGTTTCGGACTCATTATCATTGCTCTTAAGCATTTGTAAGATAGAATCATACAGCCAATAACTGTCTCTTGATCATCAAAGATGCCCATTCTATGTTTCATATATATATATATATAAATCTATAGGAGGTGGCGGCTGATGATGTTCTAGGACTCATCTCCATTCCAGCTAACCTTCTCCTTCGGCCCCGTCGGCCCCTCCTCCCCCAACACCTCCTCCGGCAACCTCCTCACCAAATCCCCCACCACTCTCTTCACCTTCCCTGGCAAAAACCTCATCACCTTCCCCAACTCCTTATCCACATCATAGCTCACCTTCGGCCCCCACTCCCTCATATACTCCAACCACGCCGGCTCCTCCATCCCCACCCTTCAACACTATTCCCGCCTTTCTGTAAAATGCGTGCCCGTGCAGCGTCGCATATGCCGCCGGCCGCTTCCCCCCTTCCACATACTCCAGCTCCCCCGCGTCCACCCAATCCCCCGAACTATGCTGGGAGAAGTACATCTTCTTCAACTCCCCATCAAAGTTGCTGAATCTCTGAGTCACGTGCTCCCAATCCCCCACATGCTCTCCAATTCTCCCTAACCCGATGTTGATGAACCCCATCTTAGCCCTCGCCGGACCATTGAAAGGGTAGAACAGCCAGAAAACAATGTCCGTCGCTGTGCCGCCGAGCGCCGGCTTGACGTGGATGTAGGCTTCGGCGGAGGAAAGGTTTCCGGCCTTGATTCTGTTCTGTGAAGCAGAGTCTGCGGGAAGGTCGAGCCAGTAGGCGCCGTCGTTAGCGCCGCCTTGGGGGAGGTTGGAGCCGGCCGGATCGATGCGGGAGGGGCTGTTGGGGGTGCTGTTGGTGTATAGCAGGGCGCCGTTGTTGAAGAACCAGGAGACGGAGGATGGCAAGTAGGGCTCTTTAGGGTGGAAATGGAACCAGGGGGAGCGGGTTTGGATCAGGGAGGTGATTTGGGTGAGGTTTGGCATCGCGGCGAGGGTTATTACGTTCTTCTTTAAGCAAAGGAGAGAGTTTTGACTGGTTGCGACGAAGGTGCCGATGGAGTCTGAATGTTGGAGGGAGAAAGGGGGTTGGGATTTGGAGTAGGAGATTGGGGTGTTGCTGTGGCATGGTTGGAGGAGGTGGTTGCGGAGGCAGCGGAGGGAGGAGAGAGGGGGTTTGTGTGGGGAGGTGGTGATGATGTGGCCGACGGAGGTGTAGCCGGGAGGGGGAATGGGGAGCCAGTAGAAGGCGGGTGAAGGGGAGGAGAAGTTGGTGGAGAAGAGGAGTGTGAAGTCGGTGGGGGAGGCGAGGGAGGTGGAGGCGGCGGTGGAGCGGGCGATTAGGGTGCGGTGGGGTGAGGGATTGGGGGTGTGGGGGGTGGGGAGGGGGAGCCGAGGGGGAAGAAGCCGGAAGGGAGGGAGGAAGGGGAGAAGAAAGTGGCGGTGGAGTCGCCGGGGATGGCCGGAGAGGTCGTGCAGATTTTGGTGAAGGTCGAGTGCTCGCGGAGCTCCAGGCCGGGAATTTCTATGCTTCCCTTTCCGAATTGGTCGCCTGCGAAGAAGTAGGAAAAATTATTGCGGACACGCAATGATATATATATATATATATTTAAGTGGTTCAGATCAGACACCACAAACAAATTTATCTGAAATGCTGGAATCTGCAGTATGACAGCAGCTGAGATTAACAAAGGGGAATAAATATAAAGAACTTCGCTCTATCAAAGTGTCTGTACGTAAAAATTTCTCGTGAAATTCAGGCTACTTTATGAAACAAGTAAGGTTAAGAAACGAAAAATTTTTAAAAATATTTTTTCTTGATAAATTAATGAGTGAAAATGTGAAATTAGTATTAAAAAAAATAAAGAGCCAAAAGTCACATTCTTCAAAATGGTGGAGCCCCTCCACCAACAACTAATCATAGCTCTTGTTAGTAATAATTTAAATTGACAAATGCTATATTTGATGTGAGTTAAAGTTGACTTTTACATACCTTGTTGAAAAAATATTTCATATTTTAATAATAATAATAATAATTTTCTAATAGATTTAATGAGGTAACTGCAAAATGTTGACTTCATTTTCACTTGTATATGAAGTTTAGCTCATTAAATGGAGTTTTTTCCTGTCCGGTCACTGTATGTGCGGACAACGAACGAGATGCAGCGGTCCGTTGTTCGCAGGTACGGTGGCCCGACAGAAAAATTTGGCCATTAAATGAGGTATGGTTGGCGATTGGGTTAATTGTTGGATGTAAAAGTCAAGTTTGATAAATGCTTAATTTAGAAAATATATAATTAAAAAAATAATAATAATGTCGATGTGTTGGATCCATAAACATAAAATTCCAATTTAAATTTTAATGTAATTTTTTTGGGTTATTTATGCAAATTTAATCATGAGTACACATAAATGCACCCTTAAAAAAATGTATGATTTACATTAAAAAATATGAAGGTTTACATAAATACCACTCAATTCTTATGTATTTGCACATCTAACACTTAAAAATTTAATTTTTTGCATTTACCATCCTAATTATGCCTGAAAATATCTATTTTACCCTTTAAAAGTTTAAATAATAATTAAAAAAATTGTTGTGAAAGATATGAGAGGTATAATATAAAATATAGATGTTAGATATGTAAATATATTGAAATTGGGTGGTATGTATGTAATTGCCGAAAAAAAGAAGATTGTGATTCCTAAGACCACTAAAAATTATTGTGTGCGAGCTGCGTGCGCTCTGCGATCACAGCAGCACATCAACCCAAGTCTCTATGATCCCACTGTCATAAAGACTTGGGTTGATGTGTAATTGTGATCGGACAGCGCATTCAACTCTGCGTGTGCTCTCCGTATTTAATAAGCGCTCGAGTCCACAGCCAAGCGCAGTGCTCACAGCATTAGTTAAAGAGGGTAGGCACCATGGGTAACCTAACCTAGACCCCACCAGCCAACCAACACATGACGCTTGTTAATCAAAACTATTTTCCTGTTAAATTATGCGACTTTCCTCATATTGCCGCATTATGCGCGCACCACTGCACGCATGCAATTTATAATCGATAAATTGAAAGTTTTTTTAATAATTATAAATATATATTTTATATTTATTTAATTAGTTAAAGGTTTAAATTGTTCTTATCAAATTATATTTAGTTAGCTCAATTTAAAGCTGGATTAAACTGAAATTAAAAAAAAAAAATTAAATAAGATTTTAAAATTTGAGATGTACTCAAATCTTGTGTCCGAATTTTATATATTTATATATCTACCATTTAAATTTTCATTTTTTACAAATATGCCATCTTGCTTGTCCATGAAAACTGGTATTTCATTTTAGGCATATTAAATATATAAATGTATGCGTATTGAGCTGAATGTTTCAAAGCGCACAAAAATATCTCAAAAATAAGAGAAAATATTGTATCAGCATGTAGACTTACGGGCAGAGTCTAATGAAATCACGCCACGTGACGGTGACAGGAAAAAAAAAAAAAATCTACCGTGTAACACAAGAGAATATTCCTCATGTGTTATTCAAGTGTTATTTTGTGTTATTGATGTGTTATTGAGTGTTACTCATATGTTATTGATGTGTTATTATATTATTATAATACCGAGAATATTCCCAGAACACAATAACATTTGTATAATACAGAATAACACGGGAGGAATATTCTCCCGGTTGTTTTTATTATTTTTTTTGTACCTCAACGTGTCATGATTTCATTGAATTCCTCATAAAACTCTACGTGCGGAGTCCTGATGCAATATTTTTTTCAAAAACAATTCACAACATAATTTTAATCAAAATTTCAGCGCTATTTTGATCTAATTTATACTAAAAATTGAAATTTATTTTACATGAAAATAAGTTAATAACTACTATAAAATAAGAAAAAATATTCATTTTTTTCAATATTTCATGGTTGAGATTTTTATCCCCTCTCCCACTTTATACTGTCGCGACAATTGCAGAAAGAACAGCGTCTATTTCATTTATTGCAACGAAAACCCTCACCCTTTCAACCGCCGCACGCCGCCGGCGAACAATCGGCCCACAACTCCGGCCATCACTTACGCGGCGGTGGGGGCGGCGAGCCACTCCGTTTGCTATTCAGCATACGAACCATATAATAAAACAAGAACTACCGTGTAAACTAAGGTTAAGAAGGGAAAAAAAAACATACCTTGAACGGCGGCGGCCATGGGTCCATTGATAAGAAGGAAGAAGAAGAGGAGGAGGAGGAGGAGGATCCGATAAGGATCCATTAATTGAGATGAAGAATAAGAGAGAGAAAGAGAACGAGTTTAAAAGAGAGGGAGAATGTTGGCTACCTATGCGCGTCTGGCCCGCAAATTTTGGAAAGCATCCCCGTGAAGAAGTGGCCCTTCCTGGTAGTGACGACTAGGAGTGTAAACCAGAGCGGGTTAAGGCTCAACTCGTGTTTAGTTAGTTAAAAATTATCATCGTTCGTGTTTGACTCGTTTATATTTTGAACATGAAAACATTTGTTCAGGTTCAGCTTATTTGCTTAGCGAGACGAACACTAGCTATTCTCAAACAAAGTACTCTTTTAACAACTCTACTCAAGCATGCAGTTATTAGGGGTGCAAACGAGTTGATCTTGAGCTAGCCCAAGCTCGGCTTGTTAAAAAATATCATTTTTTTTATGTTCGGCTCGTTTATTTATCGAGCTTAAAAAATTTGTTCATGTTTGGCTTGTTTGTTTATCGTGCTGAACACGAGCTGTTCACGAACAATGAACTATTTTGACAACCCTACTCACACAACCGTAGAATGTTAATGATAGGGCAAGATTTAAATTTTGTTATTTATATTGAACTATTCATTTAAATATAATTTAATATATTTTTATTCTATTTTTCATAAATAATTTTAATTAATTTTAAAATTTGCAGCCTTGTAGTCAATTAAATTATTTAAAAATAATACTCATGATATATATATATTATATATATATATAATGAGTCTTTAAATTTCTTGTATATTCACTATTTCTAATAAAATGATTTTTTTTCTATTTTATAAGAGAGATGGTACAATATTTAATATTATATTTCTGCTCTTGCTTTAACTGGGGTTTTAAAGGGAATTCTAGATATTTTACATTTATATACCTTTGCTCAACAGCCCTATGGCTCAGTCGGGTTGGCCTAGCATGACTTATGCTCCGTAAGGTCGGTTTGGTCGGCTAGGCAGAGTTATGCAGTCGGTCGGCTTATTTTAATTAGCTTTGGGTCGGCATGACTGACTTGATCGACTAGAATTTGTTGACCATTCGATCTAGTCTGATTTTGGCCCTTGATTCATAGATGAAAAACTCCAGTCGACAAATCAAGACTAGACTATTGGGCAGGGTGTGAATCACCGTAACCGATAGACAACTCATCCATTGACGAGGGACCTTTTGGATGATTGCGAGGGTCTATTGTGTTGTCAATTCTTGGTCAATAATAAGGAATCTCGGGAGCATCCATGGGACGACTGGTGATGCCGAGGAATTGGATTCCATAGACACATCTGCCGAGAGGTATGTACATGTCTTCACTCCGTTTTCTGTAGTGGTTAACTCAAGTGCTTATTTGTCTTTATCTAGTCTAGTTCGAGCTCGAATCATTCTTTTTGTCCTTCTCCTGGCTTAATTGACCTTCGTCCTTGGATCGTATGGTTGCATCTAATTGGATAAGTAGGTCCTTGGTCTTTGTCAGTGGGCCCTCATTTGTTGTACTTCATTTCTTCCTTATCATTTCGTGATAAAAAGGAATCATGTTATATATATATATTAGGTAAATTAATTTTTAAAATATAAAATTTTAGGTAAATTAACCAAATTATTATTTTTAAATTGTTTATACTCTTAAATCATCATATATAAGTAATAAATTTGAATTAAAAATAAATCTTATTTTTTATTAACACAAATTTTTTTATGTTTTGAAAGCCCATTTTTGTATTAATGCAAATAAAAGTTTGTATTTTATTTTTAAGAAAATGTTCTTTTTAAATATAAACTTATGAACCAAAATTTTATAAAATTATAAATTTTTTATTTAAAAAATAATTTTTTTACCAAAACTCAAAATTTTGATATCTAGTGGAACATGGTTACATGTAAACTAAAAAAAAAAAAAATTGTGCACTTAAGTGAACAAAATTGCAATCAAATGTTAATTATAATAACGCGTAATCAATTTATTCTTTTTTTTTTTTTCTCTTAAGATTGGACAGAGGCTATGATACGAGCCACCAACCAGTCTTATGTGCCTAACCACTCGACGGATCAACAAACCAATGAGATCGAACCCCCGACCCTAGGGGACTTAGAACTGACATAGCAGATGCCAATCAATGAGACGGGGAATCTGATACGCGTAATCAATTTATCCTATGCGATATGCTATTGTCTGATTTCAATATTGTTGTATCTATTTATATCACAAATCATCAATATTATCTCCCTTGATATCCCAAAAAATCACAATTATCTTCATTCATATTCTAGACAATTTTACTAATTTTTTAATACTTAATTTTGTTAAAAATATTAATATATATAAATATTTTAAAAAATCCCTCCAATTTAGGTTGACAGGACCCAAACTTGATTCAAACTGAACATACTTGCATCGAATTCGATCTGATTAAGCTCGACCTAACCCATTGTGCTATAAGATTTCTATTATTATTTTAGATTAATAAAACCTAATTAACCTTAATATGATCTATTCAACTCAATTAATCCAAGTTGATCCCCAAAAACAATTAAATTTCAATTCATACAAATCAACTCTGAATTCAGATCAAATCCAACCCAAACAGTGATTGGGTCAATCCGAATCTCTTTTATTTGAGTTAGGTTGTGTCCGATTATCAGATCTAACCATCTATTTAAATACCATTTTATCATTATATCCATCAAAATCAAATAAATCAAACATCATCAGTACGAATTAATCATCAATGATTTAGAATTTTTTGAAATGAATCTCATCAAATTGCTAAAAAATCAATACCAATTTATTAAACCAGTTTAGAATGTTCACTAAAGTCTTTATTTCTTGTGGTGTTTATCTATGAAATGATTGCATCTTGTTGGCCATTGCTAAACATGAAAGTGATGGTGGTTGACAAAATGTGTTGCAATTATGCCATTGAGGCTATAATTGTTAGTTACTAAAGAAATTTGCATTTGTATAGTGCTAAAATTCTTTTACCATTTTTTTATTACTTTAATTGATAAAAAATGATTGTAATTAGTAGATATAATTATTGGAAGTATGATTAGCAAAGCTTGGGGTTTTTGTGTAATTTTTTTTTCTATTTTTATTTTATTTTATTTATTTATTTATTTTTTTATTTTTTTATTTTTTGCAAATGAGTATTAAATACTTTATTACAATTTGCTGTGAAAATTTAAGATACTTAGGTTTTAACAACAACAACAAGTCTTTATCTCGCTAAGTAGGGTTGGCTGCATGAATCCTTTTTCTCTATTGAGTGTCATATTTTCATTTAGTTCTAGTAGATTAAGATCATTTTTTTATACAACATGCCCAAGTCCTTTTAGGTCTACCTCTGCCTTTTTTAACATAAGTTGATTCTAGAACATCTTCTATTCTAACAAGATCATCAGATGGTTGACATTTAATGTGACCAAACCATCTAAGACGAATCTCTCTAATCTTGTTCGCCATTGGAGCTACACCAATCCTATCACGAACATATCCATTTTGCATTTTGTCTCTACACCGATCCTTAACTTTGTTTTATGCTTATCTTTTAAAGGCCAACATTCTGTGACATAGAACATTGCAGGTCTTATCGCCATCTTATAAAATTTTCCTTTCAGTTTGAGGTGCATCCTCCTGTAAATGTCCAGTTAGAGCATCTATAACTAAAACAAAAACAATCTGATTTTAACATCACATCAAAAATATCATTAAAAAATCATGTAATTACAGACAAACCACTCGAAACTTGCTATTTACAAATCAACCTCCCTCGTTCATTTATTTTGCAATCTTTCACTTAAATATAGAAATTCAAGCTAGAACCCCAGTCTATATTTTTTATAGTTATCAAATTCTCAATAGTTTGATCATCACACATGTAAATACATCGATTAGATAGATCCAAAAAATCACCTGGGTAGTTAATATGTAAATATCACTATTTCGCGTGACCTGCATGTAATTATCCCTAAAAAAAAGAAATTTTCATGCATAAATTATGACACAAAATATAACTTAAATGCTTAATTATCTTGAAATTATTATATAAATATTTAAGGTTTCTTAACTAAATATTCCACTATTTTGATTATTTATATAAAAATCTAAAAAAAAGGTTTTTTTTTCTATAAAATTTCATTAGTTATGGTTGATGAAACTAATATATTGAATATTAAAAAGTACAACATGCCATGTCAGATCCATCAACCAATAAAATCAGTCCACATGTCAATCCAGTTTAGATCCATCTGGACGCTAGCTTATCACAACCTGAACTCAACATCCCAATGTTAGTGATTTTGGTGCACCGTACATCTACGAAAGACGCACTACAAGAGATGTTATTAACGTCTAATATTTGCATCTGATTTTTTCGACATAGATATTAGCATCGGATTTACGACTGTTAAGCGATAGAAAAATAAATTTTGATATTTGATTTACGACTGTTAAGCGATAGAAAAATAAATTTTGATATTTGCGACAGTTTTTTCATTCAATAATTCGACGAAAAAAGTACTCTTAAAATGACGAAACTTTAAGTGGAATTGTGACGGATTTTCAGTCGAATTGCATCCAATGCAACAATGCAAAAACTTTACTTTTTAGTGTCAAACTATAGCTGACACAAATGCGGCCGAAAGCCGACACCAAAAACCTAATATACATATCCCACGTGCCTAATTTCATTTCTACTCTCTGTGCTTCTTCCGCTCCCCCCTTCGCAGCCTCCCCATCTCTCCCTCTTGTTTGGTTTTGCTCAAAACCATCACCTTTGCTTACGAACTTTCACGATCCAGTCGCCATTAGAGCTAGTTGGGAAGGTGCGGCCAGAAGGTAGCTTGCAGGGACCATTGCAAATCCCATATTTCTCATCTTCCCTATCTGCTCCTATCAGAAAACATTGAGGAAGGTAAGTTTATTCGTGCACACTTTTTCATTTTAACTTTTGAAAAGTGAAATGTATCTTTTGATATGTAATGCTTAGGTATTAGGTATGTAAAAAAGACATGGGGTTTATATGAAAATCTTCATTCATAGGTAATGTGGTATCCATGTAAAATTTAAAGTTTAGGAGTTAGGCAGCTATATACATAAGAATTGAGTGAAATGTTTGTGCATATAATGTGGTATGTATTTAAAAATTGAAGTTTAGGTATTAGTTATGTATATACATCAGAGTTGAGTGGTAAGAATATATGAAAATCTTCGCAAATAGGTAATGTGGAATGTTTGTCCATATAATGTGGTATGTATGTAAAAATTGAAGTTTAGGTATTAGTTATGTATATACATAAGAGTTGAGTGGTAAGTATATATGAAAATCTTCGCAAATAGGTAATGTGGTATGTATGTAAAAATTGAAGTTTAGGTGTTAGATACATATCTATACATAAGAATTGAGTGATATGTATGAAAATCTTCGTATGAAAATCAAGTTTAGGTGTTAGAATGTAAATACATTAAGGGATGTTATTATCAAGAATTCACGTTATTTGATTGAAGTAGAGGAATGCATCAGGTCTATTGTTAAATTGATGTTGATATAAGGATATTGTTATTAATAGAATTAGCGTTGGTTGGTTGAAATAGAGGAATGCATGCATCGATCAGGTCTATTGTTCAAAGTGATGGTGATATAAATGGGGATGTTGTTAGTAGCATTCAAGTCGGTTGGTTTAAGTGGAGGAGTGTAGCTGGCCTTGTTCAAAGTCAAGGGAATATAGATGTGGATGTTATTAGTAGAATCATGATATGAACATATTGCATTAACTCTTTTTCTGTCGTTTTCTTTTAAAATTCATCCCATAATTCTAAAAAATGACTAATTTTTGAATAAACTATCTGAAACTAGCCGAATATTTAAACTGAGCACCAACCTCTAATGACATATCACCATACATTTTGCTTACTAACTAGTCCTCAACATATTCATCAAACTCATATGTGCATCTGCTAGTATTATCTGAGCTTGAATGATAGTATTCATCCATTTCTTCATCTTGTGACATTGTGAATTTTCAAATTGCCTACATCATTACATAGAAAGAAACTAATAAAAACAAGTTATACACTCATAACATATTAGTAAATGCCCAACCATATGCCACAACTAGGTTTCTAAGTACTTCAAGTTCATCCTACATCAATACATAGAATGAAGAGCTTGAAAACAAGTTTTAAATTCATTACATCTTAGTAAATGATAACCATATGCAACAACTACGTTTCTAACTAATGCAAATTCATCCCAGTATAATTATTTAAATACCATTTCACCTCCATCTTCACGGAATGGGTGCAACACATGAAAAAGAAAAGAGAGCAAAGAGCCAAAATATCTACTCAAAGCTCAAACCACCTAACAAAAATCACCTATGCTATACTTCAAGATAATGCAAGAATCATGAATAATGCAATATTGGTTTAAGAGCTTCAAGAGCTTGCAAGAACCCATTTCACCTTTGTGTTGCCTTAAATCACGAATAATTGCATATGAAATGGGTGCTTCTAACAGAGATGTAAAATGTATTTAACCTTTTTGTTGCTCTAAATAAATAATATCAGAAAAAGAGGGGAAAATATGAGAGTTCCACCATAATATGAAATAAAGGGGAGGAAATATGAGAGTTTATGCAAACTCTAAGGGGCAAGCAGCTTATTTGGGTGCGGCGGCGTTTTGAAAACGCCGCCGCTGTGTTTTGAAAACGCCGCCGCTGTGTTTGGAAACCGCATTGGGTGAGCCTTTTCAAAACGCCGCGAAAGGCGGTCTTTTATTTCTCCATAGGAGTCACACGCGGGGGATGAGATGTGTTCGGCGTTTGCGACTGGCGTTTAGAGATTGAATACCTTCGGTGCCCTTCGCAGCTAAGAAGGAAGAGGGAAACTCCGAGCTCCTCTTTGGTTCCCTTTGCAACTGTTCGTTACTTTGCATTGTTCCGAACTCCCCGTTCGTCTCCACTGCTCCTTCTTCCCCATTCGTTAACCCCAAAACCGAAGCTCACGATCCGGTTTGTCGACCTCGTTCGTCTCCACTACTCCTCTGTTCGTCGACCCCATAACTGAAGCTCACGATCCTCCCCCTCCACTACCGCATGTACCTTCTCCCGTAAAGCATTGCCGGTCTCTCCCTGCGTTGCATGACTAGCGAGGAAGGTAAGGGCCGGCTACCATCTTGATCACACTTTTATATCCCGAGGAAGCATTGTTATTAGGACTCTTTAATGCACCTTCTCCCGTTGATTTTAATGATTAATTTCATTTGCTCATATTGCTTTGTTGTTAGGATTCTTAAATTTGACAATTATCTTGTTAACTAGGATTCTTTATTGAAACCATTAATCTTTTTGTATTCAGCTTTCGAAGAACTGGTGTTGGACTTATATCGATTTCTCTTTCTGTGCTATTTATATTGATAATCAATTTAAGCTGTTTCTGTTTTTGGTGATTTTTGAGCAATTTCTTAATTGTTATATTGGAAAAATTATCATTCAGTTCTTAACCATACAGTTCTGTTGTAAACAACTTAACCAAACAGGGGCAGAATGGTCATTTATCCAACAACAACTCCTAGTAAGTTGTTCTGAATAAACTCTAAAAACCAAGCCAGTTTATTATAATAATCTACATATTATCAAAATAATCTGCTTATCAGCAGATTATAAATAATTAACAGCTGCCCCAACAAACCCTAAGAGAAAGGGAGACCTATATTAGAGTTTCACCAAACCTTCAGTTGAATCACAATAGAAGCCCATAACCCTATCTTCCCTTCACTTCCCTCAAAAGTGAAAGCTTCAAGTTTCCAATGGTGAAGCCTTCTTCAAGGCGATCGTTTAGAAATGTGTGGGTTTCTTATTGGAAAGAAGAGGCCGAAAAAGAAGAGGGGTTTCGTGACTTAGGGTCTGTTTGGCGCAGGTGTTGATTATTTTTAATCTGCTGATAAGCATATTATTCTGATAATCTGATAATTTGTAGATTATTGAAATATTCTGTATTGCTGTTTGGGGCAGCTTATTCAGAATAACTTATTGGTGGTTAAATGACATTCCTGCCCCTGTCTAATAAAATTGTTTGGGGCAGCTTATTCAAAATAACTTATTGGTAGAACATAAACGTATATTGCAAAAGCATATGATCATCACAGATTAGTTCTAAAAGATGACATACAGTTCTCACACCCTCATGAGTATCATGAGAACTAAAAAAAGTACAAATACAAGTACAACAACAATGAGAAATATTAAAATATTTAATTTCAGACTCTGGCTATGTCTGTCCTCATCTGCACTGTCAACCTGAGAAAACACTGGATTCCCATGACTGCTGGCATGAGTGCTGGCAGTGTAATATGTGGGACTATCAACCCACCGGAAGAAACCTTAACGAGCTGAAACACCCTTGACACAACCGTAAAACTGCCTCTCAAAGCTATGAGACTGACGTCTGACGTGACTGACGTGACGTGAGCAACGGAGACGGTAGTCCACAATAACACAAAATACCTCTGTTTGTAACTGATATCCTAGAAGTCATGTTGTATAACTGCGAAAAAAATAAAAGAATCAAATGTCAGCTTTTAAGAAAAACTTGATGGATCAGCAGACACATATAGCATTTGTGATAGACTCCCTTAAAACAATCATATCAGCCAACCCTTCACCATCATAATCTCCAAATTCATTAGAGTCTATATCATTCTCAGGTAATGAATGCCCACCCACAATTCCTGGAGGTTGCTCGAAAACATTCAGTTCATCATTGTCAGCCATACTGAAGTCTGTATCTGATTGTGAGGAATGTTTTCGGATGAAATTATGTAATGTCATTGTTGCAACCACAATATGCACCTGTTTTTGGAAAGGATACGATGACATATCACATAGGATGACCCATTTCTTCTTCCAAACTCCAATTGTTCTTTCAATTACCCCACGTAAAGATGAGTGGCGTTTATTAAACATTTCATTTTTGCCACGGACTATGCCACTAGCTTGCTCGAAATCAGGAAGAAGATATTTTGTGTCAGGTAGGGCTTCAGGTATCTCCTTTGCATAGGATATCCTGCATCAACTAGATCATATTTTTCTGGTATGAAAAACACTGTTAATAAAAAATATTACTTGCTCAAATATACAAATTGGAATCCTAGTGGTCGTGATTTATGCATAACTCGTGCAGAAGATCCATAAAAATAGGTTTTGTCATTCTGAAAATATTTCTGAACTTTATTGGATGGCCAAAAAACATTTCACCAACTCATTTATCTCCAACAAAGGGGGATGTCATGTGGTAATGCGAGCAGTGCAGTGCTATGCCGGTAATAAACCAACAACAATATCGCAACGGCTGTAGCAAATGACATTCTCCTACGACGCTCACGTTGCAGATCCATCCTAAATGATTTAAAATGTAAACATAATGAGTCCATAATAAGAAATGCCTAAAACACTAATTAATATATAAGAGATTACAAATATTTTATAAAAAAAAGACTACATATGTAGAAGGTCTAAACATAATATGTTCAGAACATATAACACTCAACTTATAAATAAAAGGCTACATATGTAAAGGTAAAAACATATAAAAAAAGAGTACATGATTCAAAGTTCCAAACATTTAGAAAAGAAACGACATAAGTAGAAGTTCAATTAGTGCAACAAATACATATACAATCCATAAATAAAATCATTCATCGATCAAAACCTGTAAATATTCGAGACGCAATTCTGGTTCTAGCACCATGAATATTTTCATTCGAGTTGAATCCTCAAGTTTTTTCACACACAGTGCGTGAAATTGCCTATCAACCACAACTTCAGGAATAGTACCCGAAAGCCTCAGATAGTCTAATATGTTAGCATCAGAGATAGGTGAGTCGCAAAAGCTTCAATTAAACGATCGAAGGAGGTGTTCACAAAATGTCACTTCTCTTTATTTTTCTTAGCAATCCTGGGCCTCTTTAAAATTGTGCTGGACTCCCCCATATCCCTTTGGTTAATGCTAGGCACTTCTTCATCAGGTGTCAATGGCTCATGTGTGAATTCATCTGGTATCCCTGTAAAACCGCTTTCACTAGGGTTGAAAGCAAACTTTCCCGTTGAGATAACTCATTTAAACATTACGTCCAATTTTTCTTTAAATTTAGGCTCAATTCTGCACAGTTTATACTTTTTCGCTGCAGGTACCGCCTGTGATATAACATTAAGAGGGAATAGTTAGGCAATTATAATTAGAGAAAACAATTTGGGAATCTAACAATTCATTGATTAGATATAAATTACCTCTAATTTTTCAGCCCACCATTCAGCTGGAGCATCAATTGTCCTTTTAATTGGATCCCAACCCAAACCGGTAGATCCACGTTTCAACTCCTTCCAGATTTTCCATTACTTCTTTAATTGGTCCTATTTGTTTTTAAATTTAAGCCTGTCGTAATCCCTGCCAACCAATTTTTTGAATCTCTTAACAATGTTTTGCCACCCTTCCTTATTAAAATATGTTGTTGGTCTGTTCCCAAGTTCTATTTCTTTTATACAAAGATTACAAAAAATATTTGTTACTTCTTTATCCCACATTATGGACGAGCTCCCTTTAATATTTTTAGACATAATGAAACTACAGACAAAAAATTAGAATAAAAAAGTTTTTAATTTTGAATCTCAATAGAATTGTTGAAGAAATAGAATTGTTGAAGTTTTTAATGTTGAACAACAACATTAACCCAACAACAACAACAGTCTCCAAACATAAACATTAGCCACCAATACAAACAACAACATATCTATTTGATCAAAAATAAAATATAAATATATGAAGACACAAATGATTTATGTGGTTCGGTCAATGAATTACATCCACAATAAGACATTGAAAATACTTTATTATGCAATTTCATAAGGATACATAGGCTGGCATATTCTCTATGGAGAATGATGCAACTGAGGTACAATTGTAAAAATTCATAAAAAAAAAATTCATGTACATTTGTAACAAAACCGGAGCCAATATTATCTTTAAATCCCCATACCCAATATTCTCTTTAAAGCATCTACCGAATATTCTCTTTGCACTGCATAATACACCATGCCCGAAATTCATGCATTGATGTTAGCCCCTTACCCCTTCAACCGAGATTCCCAAAAAAATACCAAAGCCAACTCTAAATACACCATACCCGAAAGATTGCATAATGTATCAATTTATGTCATCACCAAAATATTCATGCATTGATGTATGTAGCAGCCACATTAATCTAAAAATACCAAAGGCAAATCTAATTTTCAATGACAAAAACTGCTGCTTTGATGTATCTAACAGCCATATTAATCGAAATCATCTATTCTTTGTAACATCTTGTATGCAGTCAAAATTTCTCTCTAACTGCAATGAAACAAGGAGAACTAAGCCTTCAAAAGAACCATTTGTTCGAAGTGCACAACAACAGGAAAACCAAAAACATACTCAAAAGCTACAATTTGCACAGAAACATGTTCCAACGCAAATTGACATTGCAATGGAACAGGAAGAACAAAAAATCTTTTCCGAAGTGCATATAAATGGGAACAACCAAAATCTATGCTCAAAATCTAAAGCCATAAATAAAATCTAAAATGATTTGCATAGAAACATGCTGCAACTTCGGAAAAATTGAGAATCACCAAAACCTCATTATAGTGTACATAAACTATTTGCACAAAAACAAATTGCACGGGAACGATTTCCTCAAAAACTATTTGCACAAAAACGATTTTCATGGGAAATCAAAACATGCACCTAGAAAAACCAACTCCTTGCTCTGCAATGCATTCCCAAATAGTCCAGGAAGTATATCCTCAAAATCAAAACAGAGATCCAAACCAAATCTTGAGAAAAAAATGAAAGAATCCAATCGATGAACGGAAGGAGAAGATCAAGCAAAACTTAACCAGAAAGCATACCATATCTCAACGGAGTAACCAACAGGAGGTGATGTTTGCGAGGGAGAAGATCAGTGAGGGAGAAGGCAAGGGAGAGCGCGATAGAGAAAACCAAGGGCACGGGAGGAATTCACGACCTAAAATCCAGCTTCAAACGTCAAACGCAAGGCCTTCCCGGCGATCGGGATTGTAATATAAAATAAATAACACGCGTCGCGTCGTTCCCAGAACGCCGCCCCAACGTGTTATTCAAACACAACGGCGATGTTCCGAAAATATCGCCGCACCAGGATAATCACCCCCCCAAACGAACCCTTAATGTTGCATTCACAACTCAAGTTGTGTTCAAGTGTGGAAAATAACAAGGAGAGGTGTGGTCAGAGACGTTAACGAAAGACGAAAAGAGAAGGGAGGATGTGTGGAGCACGACGAAGCAACTATGGCGGGAAACGTTGACCAAAGGAAAATATATTGAGATTTTCATACCTATTTTACACTATTTTTGATGATATTACATTTTAAAGAAGAGTATTTTTGATGTTTTGTTTCAGGTATGATGAATTATGGACATTGGAGCAAAAAGATGCAAAAACGGTGCAATTTGGAGCAAAAACGAGCAAGAAATGAAATTTTGCCCTGTCACCTTTCGATAAGTCTTTCGATGCTTAATCTATTTTACACTTCTTACATATTTTTGAATGAGATTACACTTTAAAGGAAGGTTGTTTTTATGCTTATTTTGTAGGGCTATATGTTAGGAACACAACGCAACTAAAATGGGGCAAAACAAAGCTAAAACAGAGCCAAACGGAGCGAAATGGTGGAGCTGCGCAGTCTGCCCGCCGACCGCGCTAAAAGGGGGCCGGCCCGGCCGCCCCGCCGACGGCGCCGAAACGGCGCCGACGGCAAGATTTACCCGAGAAGACCAAAAAATGACATAAAAGCTCGCCGACAGCGCCCTCGAGCCCGCCGACGGCGCCCATGATGACTATGAACCCACTTTTGGCGGTTATGGGCCGAAATTCAAAATATTTGGACGCTTTTTGAAAGGATTCTTGTGGCAACTATTCATACTTCGTCCCTACACTTTAAAAGAACGAATTTAGGTTAGAAAAAAAAGGATTTTTGTGAGAGGAATGTTAGGAAAAGTGTGGAGAAAGTTTAGGGAATTTAGAATAGAAGTAGAAATGTAGATTGCTACCCTTTTGGAGAGATTGAAGAGGAGATTTTGAGAGAGTTTGTAAGGAAACGTTCTAGTATTGCATGGATCGGCGGGAGACTTTGT